CCCTACTTTCCTTTTCTTAAGAGAATTTTTTTTAGGATTTTGTTGGTCATATTTATAAGAAATAATGACTTCTTATTTAATTTATAGCATTTATTAAAAATTTATCAAGTAGCATGCCTACTTAAAAAAGAGCATTTACTAATAAGATCAATTGTTAAAAGCAACCAACCAATAATTAAACGGGATATTTATGAAAAGAAACATGTAGTTCTTTTAAATATTATATTAATTCGGTCCTTAATATAAAAGTTAATTAATTAATTTGAGTAGATTAAAAAAGTTTGTTCAGTTAGTTATTTGTAATAAATGTGTTATCTTACTTAAAATATATTTGCTAATTATATGTATTAACTATAACTACTATTTGATGGAGTCTTTAACGTGTGCAACCAGTACAAGGATTATTTCAGAAAAAAAGATAAATATAAGAGATAAAATAGATTGGGATCTTATATTTAAAATTAAATTAAGAGTTAAAGTAACTGTTATATTAAGGATATGATTTAGTACTTATTAGTTACTAATCTAAATAATTTTATCTACCTTTTTATCCTTAAACATTAATTATACTCTTTTTGGTCCCATTTATAAGTTTCAAATTTGAAAAGAGGTGTGGTGCATTTCATAAGTTTTAATTTAAGTTTGTCTTAACATTTAATGTATTTTTTACAATATTGCCATTAATCATTTCTCTCTTATCACATTTCTTCATACATTCTCTTTCATCTTTTTTGTAAGAATATATTTGGAAACAAAAATTTATTTTTAACCTATTTGTCATCTATAAATTAATTATTTAAAATTTATAGTCATCGCCGGAGAGAGTATATGGCTCATAAAAGGCATTGAAACTCCCATGTGTGTTACCACAAAAGTTTCGCTATTATCTCGAAAACATGAGACTTGGTGAGATTTTACAGTGACGTGGAAGATAAGAGCTCAGACTTTTTTTTTCCCCCCCCTTATTAATATAATTTTTGGTTTTTAAAATTTATTCTCGTGTTTTTTTGTTTTTCAGCTTGGAAGAAACTGAGTTTGATCTGCCTGGCGAAGACCAACTAGTTTTATGGAGGTTTGGCACTTGGTGCAACTTCTTTAAAAGAAAGAAGCAGCCTCCCTCCCCTCTGTCTTTCTTGTAAAGCGTTGCAGTGATTTCCTGTTGTCTAGTTCTAATTTCTTATCAATTTAGGATTTGTTTGGAATTATGATCTATAAACTGCCTATAAGAATAGTCGCGTAACTTGAGATAATACTCATCTTAAATATTTATTTTATATTTTATAAACTATAGTTAAATACTTATTTATAAGTCATTTTAAAATAAGTATTATCTTGGTTCTATTTATAAAACAGAGAGAAAAGATTTTTCTTAATTTTATTTAAAAGTCACTTCATTAAAATTTTAGCATCAATGTACTGTTTTATTTTTCATTTATTATAATATAGATTATTTTTTAGAGGTGTATATATTAAATAATAGTAAAGTTGAAAAGTTATTATATTTTAATTAAGAGGCAATGTAGTTTAAAATTTTTTTTACTCTATATGAAATACATTAAAAATGTCTTATAAATAAGATAAGAAAATTACCTTATTTTCTTCTTGATCTTGATAAATATGACTAATTATTCTTAGCATATTTGAGTTGGGGCTACATTCATGACATGGGAGCGAGGGAGTGTTTGGTAACCCTCAAAAGTGCTTCTCAAAAGTACTTTTTCGTAAAACGAGACAAACACTTCTATATATTTATTTCGTAAACTATAAAAACACTTATAAAACCATGATTTGGTTTCCATTCAAACACTCTCTGAGTCTGGAAACCAATAAAACCAAAAAGGCGTCACTTGACGCTCGTTATGGTTGGCGCTTTATTTATTTTATTCCATCCCCTTCCCTTGCCCCCGCAAGCAAACAAGCATGCACTATACTCTCAACACTCCACAGTCAACTCAGCGTAGCTTTTGATGTGATCTGGAATTAATTAAAACTCCACTTGTTATTAAATATAATATCTGAATCATTAATTTACAAATATTATAAAAAAACTAATTAAGTTATTATTTTTATTAAATGCTTGTCAACTTTCTTAAAATATTTTCTCTAATTATCATGCCATTAATGGAAGTTTTCTTTTATATACAATAGGAGTTTCAGAATTAAAAAAAAAAGATAAAGTAAACTGAACTAATTACTTACGTTTCAAACCTGGGAAAATCAGGAAATAATAAAAAATGAGTTTTGACTAGAGAAAAAATTAAACGAGAAGCAATTTCATGATACCAGGATAATCCGCACGCGGATTCTGCGTGTTCCCAAATTTATTTTCATTGCTTTCAATATGTCGGTCGGGGAAACATGAGCCGAGGCTCCTGACCCGGTGCTTTAATTTAATACAAGAATTTCTGCTCCGCTATTTTTTTCTGAACAGCAACCAACTTCCATGATCACAGACAAGTAGCGCGTGTGTGGGGTTACTTATAGGAGTATTTATATTATTTTTTATAAATTATGATTAAGAAATTATTTATAAATTAAGAAAAAATAGTAAATAAAAACTCCTAATATATAAAATTACGATTTGAAACTCAATTTAAAAATAACAAATAAAGTCCTAGTCTCACATTACAAATATGAAATTTTGGTAAAATGTCTGAAATGTCTCTTAACCAAGTGACAAATTGACTATGGAAAATAACAAATTTATTTTAGTGAATAACAAGTAGACCAAATTAAAATTTGACCAAGAAATATTTCAGATATTTCATCAAATTTTATATTTATATATGAAACTAGATCTTTATTTATTATTTTTTAAACTGAGAATCTCAAATCATAATTTTGTTTTTCTTTACCTTTCTCCCTATAAATTATTTCATACAATTCAATTGGTTTCATCAACCATTTCTTTTCTCTCGGATACCGTGACTAAACAGGCGAACTCGAAGCCCCCCAAGTTGAACTTTTATCTTTCCTGGCCTTAAATGTAACTACGAGTCCCAATGAAGCTCTCTCTCTCTCTCTCTCTCTCTCTCTCTTCCCTCTCAGCAGCAGCATCGGCCAAATTAGAGAATCAACCAGTTCGTTCGTACTTTCCTTTGATCTGACATTGGCAAAAGGGCTGAGCTAACCTATGAGGAAAACAGAGGCAAAATGGGAATTAACTAAGCCTAAATTAGTCGTCACACGGCCACTAAAATCGAAGTTGATGCTAACAAGATGGGAGACCAAAACGTCCGCCCAATCCCAATCAACCTTGTACTCTTCAAGAATTTACTCACTGTGTTTGACTGGTCCATGTTCAAAAGGGCTTTCCTTTGTGGGGCTCATCAGCCCCTCCGCGTGTATTAACCCCATTCTTCTGCGCCTCTTGAAACAGCTTCGCCACGTGATGGATGCCTCTGTCCTTTGGCTGCGAATTCAAATTTCTTTTTGTAAAGTACCCTCTGATCCCTCTAGTCCTTTCCTGCGTGCATGTTATCACCAACAAGTACCTCCTCTTCTAAACCCTGCGAAACCCCTTCACTCACGCTCCGCCCCAGAGCCATTAATCTGTATTTGCGAATAACATTAAGTCGATAGCTAACAATATTGAAGCTGCTGGACTCTGCTCGTGTTTGTTTAATTTTTTGTCTCATTGCCTGTGTTTTGACCAGACAAGAGTCGGGTACAAGTCTAGTTTAATTTGTGTCTCCCAGGAAATTTACGCGGATGCGTTGCAAACATATGTGCGATGGTGAAGGGCAGAGCTGTTTAATGTAGAGAAGGATGTGGAGGAATCTGCGGGATGCCACGTGATTCCTTCACGGACCCATTATCGAGGCGCGAGTGCACGAGTGGCTGGGAACAAGGAACTAGGAAACAGCTGATTCAAAAGCTTCATTAGAGCCGGTAAATGTGAGCACCCCATTTTCGATATAGACAGCATTGAAGCCTTGAACCGAACTTAAAACCCCATTAATGGCTCCAACTAGCAAATTTATTGATCCATCTTCTCGACTTGCGAGCTTAGGTGCCCTGTTTAGGAGTTTCTGTCCGTTGGAAATCCCTTTGTCCTGAAATTTCTCATTTTGGGCAACTTGTCAAGAGCTCTTAATGAAACGGGTCACGTGGCCACTTTGATCCGTCAGTATCGCCAGCTCATTCCCCTGCCCAGTTCACTTCGGAGTCAAAAGAATGGTCAATGAGGCGTGCTAGCTAGCTTCCACACCATCCCTCTCTGTAACTCTGCCACTGTGCCTCTGTCTCACTGTGGTTTGAGTCTTCTTTAACGTTCAAACTTTGTTCAATCTTTTATAGCATGTTAACGCTTTCGCTCACAAACCCAACACCTCATCCCTTTAGTTGTCACTGCTGTTGCTTTCTGTACCTCGAATGGTAAGCTTGACTAATTTTCCAACGAACTGTCATGAAGAGGATTAAGGATGGACTTGTGATAGTGAAATTTCCATTGACCACCACCAACTCTACCATGAAACCTCAGATGATGGGTTATCTGCTTTGTTTTACAGATACTAAAAAGCAAACCCTAGATAATAGTATACGTTGTGTTATTATGCATTGGGTTTTGAGATGACCTAGTTCTTAGAATCTTCCCAGAACTTCAATTTACAAGTTAAAAACATAAAAAAAAAAAAGAAGACAAAAAACAAAGGATTGGCCCAAAAAGACGAGTTTTACAATTAATGCCCTCCAGGTAAAAGATAAAGAACCCAAAAAAACAAAAATCACCAGGTTCATGGCATGGGTTCACTCGCTTACAACCAAAGGAGAACGGAGGAACTGACAGACAGTATATTTTTGAAGATTGGTCGTCATTGAATGCCAAATTAACAATTATAACGAGTAATGACAAAACATCGTGTCATCATGCCCCTTCACGAAATTGACATTTTAATTTTAGAAGTTTGAAAAGGAAGAAAAAAACACGATCCTCCTGGATCCCTTCTTAGATATAAATAATGGCCTCTATCTACTGGGGCGGGGAGGGGGTCCCGACTAGAATTTATTGGACCTTTCTTTGTCTGCTTTCTTTGAATTTCAATATGCTGTTTTGAAGTCTCATGGCATGCTTAGACATGTATAACAACTCAGAGCACAGCGGTCATCCCTGCACTCCAATGAGCCCCAGAATCTCCTTCTCGAGCGATTTTGTTGATGTTCAGCAAGCTATCAAGCAGGAAAGGCTTTCCAGAGACGCTCCAGCTTCCCCAGACTTCGAGTTTTCTGTCACAAACTATTCAATGATGAGCGCCGACGAGCTTTTCTATAAAGGCAGGTTGTTGCCCTTCAAGGATGAACGCAGCAACCAGATGCAGAGGACCACCACAACTCTCAGGGAGGAGCTCCTTCATGATGATGAATACGAAGATTTCTCGCAAAGGCCACCCAAGGGATCATCCTCAAGAAGGAAGGGGTTTATGGGTCTTAGAAAAAGTCATTTTGGCTCCAAGAAAGCTGATAAAAGTGAAGGTTCTTCGGACGCAATGGTTGGGGGAAGAAGGTCTAGATTAGTGAATGAATCTGCTCGAGTTAATGTGACTTCCCAGGTGACGGAGTCTCTATGTTTTGGTTTTGATTTTTTTCCCTTCCTTGAAGTCAAGAGATTACTGGATGTTTTCTTAGTTTTAACGTGAATCTTGTTTGCCTTTTGTGTTATTACAGGATTCGTTGAATGATGGAAGCTCAGGCTCCTAACATGATAGAAGCATGGTTGGAAGCGTTGAATTCTTTGAGGAAATTCCTTCGGTTTCAGGGGAGGATTGACAGGGTGGGAAAATGAAGGTCATTTCTTTATTTTGTTCTGTGTTTTCCCTGGGTTGAGATGGTTCGACTGATGATTTGTGCTAGGATTTTGCTTTCACCTTCGATTCATCTTTGCTGAATTCGTCCTAGGAGTTAGATTTGGGCTGTTTATTGTACAAATTATTTTGCAGTTGAAGGAACTTCATTTTGGGTTAGCATAAAGAGAGTTTTCTTCTGAATGCTTTTATAGTATCAGTTTGGGCAAAAGAAATGTAATTTTAATAGTATTACTTGCAAAATAAAATGCGAGGAGGGAGAAGGAATGGACGCTTGATGGAGGCTGTGTAAGGGCGAAAACGTTGGCGCCGTTAGGTTACTGATTCTCTCTCGCTGAAGGAAGCTTTATTTTAAAATTTAAAAATATAGTAACAGTAATTGCTCGTTAGTTGGTAAGTCAATGGTCAAACTTGGAATCTACTTCTATTTCCTTTTAGGAAAATCTGAAGAAAATAAATCTTCCTTCTCACAGTTTTAAGTATATGTTCCACAATTTGCAGAAGATGTCTTCAATCTTGATGCAGACATTAAAAAAACAAACAAACAAACAAACAAACGCTTCTCTTATTTTCAGCGTCATATACTTGACAAGTTGGTTATAAGTCTGCAAATAAGTAGACAACTCTCGAATACAAATATCAAGTGTTCTTCATAAAGATTTCTCGGAGAGCTATGGGAATAAGGATTGGGGAAGACGATGGAATCTTTGACATCAAAGTCCCGGCAATTTTAAGAAATGAAGTCGGGGTGTTAATGCTTACGAACCCCCAAAAAGAAACCAAGTACATATGATACGTTATATTTCTACACAACACATAACAAAGATTAACATAGTCTTGTTTAGCAAGTAGCAGTGACCTCATTGGTGAAACTTGTGATGGAAGCGTTCGTCTTTGTACTTCAAACTCTCAATATAAGCACCAAAACCATCACAAGCTTCTTTCAATTCTTCAAGCTTTGTTTCAATATTCATTATTTCGTTATCTGCTCGACTGAATTCAGTTGTGGACGCCGAATACCTTGAAGCCTCGGAGGTATCTTGTGCTTCATATGCCAAGTTGACAAGCCTGCATAACCGGTGTCTTAAAAATTCCACATTCATCCCCAGATACTCAAAGGCTAGCAACTCTTTGTCCCATTTAGCAAATTCAGCGGGTGGAATATGCAGTGAACTAGATCTCAAGGCATCAGCAATGTTGACAACTTCAGATATAATGCCGACAATGAGGTTATAATTGATGCCCTTTATGAGATTCTCGTGCAGAAAGGCCTGCTGGCTATGGCAGAGTTTGTAATACTTATTTCGAAACTCCTGGGGGAGCTCAGAATCGATGGGAATCCCATCAATTATGATACTGAAATTTTCAAAGCTTTTTACATCCTTGAATTTAAGTTCCGTTCCAAGGCTCTCCAGTCCTTCTGAACCAGCTTCATCACTTTCATATTCACATTGTTCAGCACACTGCCGAACCTTGGGGGAAATTCTCGACACACTTGTCTTGTTTTTCTTTTGGACAACTGGAGGTGGCGAGTCAGATTTTTCTTGTTTCCTCTTAGGGCTATTACTCAGTTGAGCATCCTTGTTTGCATTGTCTTCATATTAGAATATCCACAAGCAAGAACGGAGAATTGTTAGGATACTACCAAGAAAGCAAACATTTTTGTTTATAATTATCACAGGTCTAGGAGCATAGATCTAAGGCTTGCCTTTTGCTTTTTGCTTGGTATAATCATCGAGATTCGGAAGGGAAACCGCCCCATCCAGTTCGCCTAAGCCATTTGCTCTCACTATATATACCTGAAAAACAGGCGTAAAGAAAAGTGGAACTAGTATCAGGAAAGAAGAGCATAGAGACTAGAGATAAATCATGACTCCTTTCTCTCAGCATTGTTTTTTGTATCGAAGAGAAAGAGATAACAGAACATCTAAGACTTGAGAGCAGGAAATAGGCAGCAATGAATTTCCAACCACATATATCGCAGCAACTTAGAGGCACGAAGATTGACCGTATTAAGATTCAGAGCAATTCCACCAGAGGATGTTTGCCTTATCAAACCAGATATGCTAGCGAATTCAGCGAGAGAATCATCTAATTCGATAGTAGTCAATACCAGGCCAGCCATTGTATAAACCGCCTAGAGTTTTCTCTCAGACAAATCAAGTTTCTCTCACGGATAACCTAAACCTGCTACTTGCTTATAATATTCCTATAGAAAGGGAAGAAATTAAAGAAGATTGGACCTATCCCTGAACGATGACCGTAAAAGAAAGCGAGAAAGGCCAAAACCTCCACAGCATTCCACCATATTTGATGGTAACTCATTTCACTGAATTTCCCCCCTGTCATATGTCTGCAACTGTGCTTTGTCTTTCTTCACTCTGCATTAAACATTTAGGACCCATGGGAACTACTAAGGGACACTGACCTCCCGCATTCAGTTGTTATTAGCATCTCATATTGGAGAGAGGTGGTTAATATCAATACTTACACAATAACAGGTCCGTGACTGACACAGAGAACTTACAACGGAATAAGTGGTCATACATGCCATCCTTCTTGCTTTACAATCTAGTCGTCATATTGCCATTGAAATACAAAACCCATAAACTCACAGTATAAGCACTAAAAGGACACACCCCCCCCCCCCGGGGGGGGGGGAGGGAGGAGAATCCAAAGAACGTACCTTAAATTTAGAAGGCTCAACTAACTGAAAAACCAAAACATCTCCCTCCTGCAATTTGTGGACTGCAGAAAACTGCCTCCAACCAGAGCCTAAACCTGTCTTGCAAGCAATGTATTTCAACTGGTATTCTTTATCAGATTCATCTTCCAAAGTAATGGTAGTGTCACTATCCGGTAAGTGTTTTTTACAGAAAAACGCAGGGAGCCCCTGGGAGGTACAGAAGAACTTGCTATATGAATACAATGCAAAGGGGGTTTCCAACACGAGGGCAATTTTTACTTGAGTCTCTTGGAATTCTTACCATCCAAAAACAACCAGCAACATGTGATCTGACCAATGACTTCACAAAGCTAGGGACCCTCGGATCTAAGTTTGATTGGATCATCTCCGCTCGAAACACAGCAGACGACCTGGCCTCTCCTGCTGATAATGTCCTGTCTGTTGCCACCTTAGTGGAGCTTCAAGCAAGGATATGTATCAATGTTCAATGAGTAACTGTGGAAACTGGAAGATGAACAGAATAAATTGCACATCATACTAGGTGATCCACCAACCTTGCAAGCTTTTGTGCCTGATCGGATAAGCCCTGCCCCAGCATTTGTTAGAGTCTTCAGTAAATTAGACTATAATTCAAATGGATGATGCCATATAATTTAGACCCCCCCTCCCCACCCCAAAAAAAAAAAAAAACACACACACACACACACAAAGAAATGGAGAAGCCATTTAATTGACATTCTTAACTTCTCAAAGTACTCGGTGTTGCTAACTTACAATTTAAAAAAAAAAAAAAAGCCCCATCTTATTGTTAATTAAAAAAAAGTTGAAAACACACCAAATTGAATAAGCTCTAGTTAGAGTGAATATTTAGGGATGCTCAGTTGCGCACATATAACAGTATCATAATATGGGTTCATTCTTCAAATGTTGGCTCATATAATGCAAATAACTTGTTATGAATGTTATATTTGATACTCCTTTGTTTCTTAATGTAGAACTTAATTGTTGAGTAGATCTTGGTTCTAAATATAAAACCAATTTATTATATTTATTATTTTTTTAAATTACTCCTATTGATACTCTCTCTATCATAATCAAATAAAGAGGGATGAATGATATTAAAAAAGATGATTTTAAGAAAACGTGTCATATTTCTTATAATTAACTAACATACCTTACTTTTTTAATCTACTCAAGTTAGTTAGTTAAATCTTACATCAAGATCATGGGGAGTATTTATTTTGTTCGTCATTAAAGCAAACATGTATGCCTCCATCCTCCTAGCCGTTGACAATAAAAACTTAACATGGTTATGCAAGATGACGTTCCTAAGAGACTAATTATGCTTCGAGCCATAAGCCGAAAAGGAAGACTGAAAAGGGATTAAAAAAATGGGAAACTCACTTGATTAGGTATAGAAACCAAATGTTTTTTCTGAAGCCTGTGTTGATTCTGCACCATCTTGTTCCGTTTGTGCTGCAAACAATGCAGCGTAAGGATCAAGTAATCAAATATTAAATTGGAAATAAAACCAAACCTAAAGAAAAGCCTTTTTCATGTGTTAGCTTCATCTAGACATTCCCTTGGTTGTGAATTTACGAGAAGTATGGGAAGACAAAAGAATTACAAAGTTAACCCCATTGATAATTAAAGTACTACAACGAATAATGCCTCCCAAATCCTAAGATCTCTACCGGGTAAAATAAAATACTCATAAAGGCGATCGTTGAAGAGGGAGACGCATTTTAATTAACTACTATGGGGAGAAATAAAGAGAGGAGAGAAAACCGTGGTTGAAGGAGGGACTCGTTTGGGAGACTTTGACCAATTGGCCAGGGTCAAGTCATCATCGTCATCCGTATTTTTACCGTGCCTCGGAGGAGTAACGGCTTTTCCGGCAGCCGTAGAAGCACGAGGGTGGTCGGCTACCTCCTTCTTAACGGACCGATCCTCTAACGCTCGGCTACTTCCATGACCCACCACCATCTCAACACAATACAAACAGGAATTGCCGCCTGCCAGCAACAGATTATTGGCCTTCCATGGCCATCACCAAATCCCAATTACAGTTACAGACGTTGCCGGCCAGAGAGGAGGCCAAGAAGGGCCTCCAATTTTTAATCATGCCAACTTCCTTACATTTTTTCGCTAACAAGCAAAACAATATCATATGTATGTAACCTTTATAACTTAACGACGTCGAGGTAATATTTTATAATAATACATTTTATTATTGGGGAAAATGTTATCATATTTTTATTAAATGATTCATAGCTAAATTTAATCCTTGGATCACATCGAGCTAAATTAGCGTTTTCCTGCTTTTTTGAATGGTTTGAGAATAGGAATATATAGTACTCTTCCGGTCCTTAATATAGGACTTATTTAACTAATGTGATTAGATTAAGGAAGTTAGGTAAAATAGTTAATTATAAGAAAAGTGATACATTTTTCCTAAAACACTATAATCATCTTTCTTAATACCTATCTCTCTCTTCTACTTGATTATGGTTGAGGGAGTATCCATAGGGATAATTTAGAGAACATTGATAAATATGATAAATGGGTCTTATATTTAGGACCAAAACCAACTCAAGAATTAGGTCCTATATTAAAAACTGGAGGAGTAGTATAGGTAGGCATTGTGTGGGAAAAGCTAGGTAGCTAACTTGCAATAATAAAAGAAAAGATTGTTGAGGCAAGTAAAACGGGGTATGAGAAAAGACAAAGGAATGGTGTTGGTTGCAGTTACTACAACAGAGAACAATAATACTTGGGCTGGAAGGAGAGAGCCAGGCCTAAGTGGACGATTAAATTTAAGTAAGTTAATTATCTCTTCAATTAGATAGTGAGAAAAACAATTAGTTCACATATATAAATTGACTGCATCATAAAAAGCTCATATTTTTAGTTAAAAATGAAAGCGGCCTGCACTTGGACCTTGAATTGCCATGAGCAGCGTACTAGAATGAAACATGAGACTCCAATTAACGAATGCGCACCATAAAAGGGAATTTACGTGATTCCAGGAATACATATTAATGATGGTTTGAGAATGCAACTAATTGACATCATAAACTACCTCGTCGCAATCTTGTGATCCTGTCCAGCTCTCGTGCATTAAAGATCAGATCTTTTCGTGTAATCTTGGTTCCACTTGCTCACTTCTTTAATTATTGTTATATTGAAACTACGAGAGGAACAAGAAGGATGAAGTTGAGTGGGCGAAACAAAAATAGAGAAGGGAATGGACAGAGTCCAGATGACAGGGTAAGAATAAAAAAGGAATGGAATAATTCTATCGCGTTGCCTTGCTGCCAATTACTGATATTCGACCAGTCTTTTCGTCCGTACAAGTGCAAAAATCATCACTTTTTTGTATTACAAACTAGTTTGATTGATTGTTAAGAGGAGGGATGTGCCAGAAAATCCTGATAAAATAGATTTTAAGCACTCGCCGGTTGTCACCAACATATCAATATCGCAAATCCAATTCGTGCTAAGAATAACGACGGGGCCTTGGGATTTTTTGGCAGTCTAGGTGAACGGAGGAGCTGGCCGTTGTCTCGTTATGACGTTGGAATTTCTTGCACGCCTTATTCTCCAGGCATTCCTTAATTTTCTAAGATCCGAAGACTTGAATATTTCAACAACTTATATACGGACATTCAAGAAATCCCATTCACATACAGCTAGCTTTAGAGTAAACAAATTGGATATGTGGTTGCAGAAGTTATAGTTAGTTGCTAGTTATCTCCTTTTCTCACATGCTATTGCTTAACGAAAGCGATGAATGAAGCAGCCTGGGGGGTTGCGCTGGATATAAAAAATTTAAACACTTAACAATCACATGAATCATCGTGACCAACATCCCTGTCTTGACCAAGTCAAATGATGATGGTTGGTGCTGCTTGTCAATCTTGGCCGTCCGCGTTTCATGCCCTCAAATTACAGAAACAACTCAATTTTCCCACGACCCAGGGTATCAATTAAGACACAATTTTTCAGTGTGACAGCATATGAGGAGCGGAAAATCACGTGATAAATTTTGTCTTCCAGAATGCTTAAGTGGCCGTATCATTAAAGAAACACTGCCACCCTACATAAATATTCTTGTTTGTGATTAGCCACATATAGTGTCACTTATAAATTCAAAAGAACTGAAAGCAATGATACTCGATTTTTCACCCGCAAATTCTGGAATAGGTATGCTTTTATTTGTCATCGGAGTAGAGCATTGATGGAAAAGGGGAACTGAAACTCGTCAAATTATTGATCTGATTCCATAAAAATTTATGAGAATATGGAACTTTAAGTATAATATTAAGCTGACAGTGCTCATGCCAGTGGAATTTATATGTATGTATGTATGTCTATATTGTGTGTATGGCCTTGCCCCCGCAATGGTGTCACCCCAAGACGTTTCAAGTACCTAATAAGGCAAGCAGTTGCCCGTTGCATTGTAGTGCCACAACTGCCGTTAAGACCGTTGTTTTGTTTTTTTTTTCCCCATTTCCTCTTTTTTCCTCTTTTGGGGAATTGGGGTTGTGGGATAGTAGGGGTCGGAGTTACGGGACTGGTCAATGACAACACAGCCCTCTATTTTTTATTCCTTCTTCGCGCTCTCTCTCCTCCCCTTCTCTCTCCTTCGCCTGTGACATTGTTACTTTTTGGCCCCAAATATCTTTATGATTGATTTTGGCTGAGTTTCCGTTTTCCTTCTCTTCTTTTGTTACCTTCTTGCAGCGCACGCCTCCTCCCCGGTCTTCAAAACTCTTATTTTTAGTAATTTTCCTTTTCTTTCCTCTACTCTTTGAAGTTTGAACCCAATTTATTTTGTAGAACTGTACTCGAAACTTCATTCAAATTCCAGTTTTGTGCTGGTAACGTCTTCATGATTCTTTAGCATGGACTTTCCTGGCCATTTGAATGGTTGGATGAAGGTTGCCTACGTGGTGTTAGCGTTCTGCTCTGCTTTTGTTTGCGGCGCTATAAAAGGTCACTTCTTTCGCCCCTTTTCATACCCTTTCGTTCATGATTCAGTATCTGCTGGTGAATCCAAATACTTATGATTGTTTTTTTTTTTTTTATCCTTTTGTGCTTCAAAATAGATTCAAACAATAATTTCTTGAAATTTCCATGGAATTCTGCAGGCTTGCTTGTGGGTCCTATCGCTGCTCTGTTCCTGATTATAGGGAATGTAAGCGTAATTTTGGGGCTGTTCCCTGCACATGTGGCCTGGACGGTTTATACCCTTCTGAAGTACTTCCTTCACCGTTTCCGAATTCTTTTTCCTCCATGATTATGATTTTCAGTCTTCTACCTCTTGCGCTTATGGGTTTATGTTTGCAGGATCAATATTTTTGATGCCGCTATGAAAGTTGCTATTTTGTTTGCTTTGCCTGCGTTATTTGGTTTATGGTTGGGTCTAGGCATAGCGGGAAGCGTTCTTGTCGGGGTAGGATATGGCTTCTTCACCCCATGGGTTTCCACTTTCGAGGCCTTTCGACATGATCGCGAGTCCAAGAAGTTTTTGCACTCTTTTGTGGTGATGATCTTATAAGATCTTGTCTTCTCAACACTTGTCTACTTTTTTGCGCTCATTTTTATTTACTTGTATTGAACTTAGGACGGTACCTGGGGAACTATCAAAGGGAGTTGCACTGTAGTTAGAGATTTTGCAGATATGTGTTACCATTCGTACTCAAGTTACTTGAAGGAATTACGTGAGTCACCTGCTTCTGACGAGCTTCAAAGGCTAAGGTGAAGTTCCTATTTTAACTATGTGAACCACTCCTTTAGTAGCAGCATAGAAGTCAGAAGAACTGTAATCATATGCTTGACTACTAGGTTGCTCTGCGATGATGAAAAACATAAGGATGATTATGACAAATGGAGATTTCTGTTCTTTGGTTGTAGGCTAATTCATGTTCCTGCCTGTATCATCGTGGGAATAATGGGGCTAATTGTTGAGATTCCTCTTTTTACTGCAATTGCCCTTGTAAAGAGTCCATACATGTTGTTCAAAGGCTGGTTCCGACTGATTCAGGATTTAATTAGTAGAGAAGGCCCATTTCTTGAAACTGCTTGTATCCCAATTGCTGGACTGACCATACTGATGTGGCCACTCGCTGTCGTTGCGAGCGTTTTGATGGCTATTTTCTCCAGCTTTTTTATTGGACTTTATGCATCTGTTATTGTATTTCAGGTTCTCTCTCTCTCTCTCTCCCCCTCTCTCTAGTTTCCCATTCCAGAAGCTGGGCGATTTTTCCTTGCCTTAATTACTGAACTCACTTTGAAACTTCCTTTTGGGTGAAGGAGAGATCCTTTCGTAGAGGTGTAGCCTATGTGATTGCAATGGTTGCTGAGTTCGATGAATACACAAACGACTGGCTCTATCTTCGTGAGGGAACTTTCTTTCCAAAGTAACCATTCTCTTAATTAGTTTCTTCTCATATTTTCTAGTGCATGGAAATTTGTTCCGCTAACATCAGCAATCGATTTGCGCTCAGCCAGGCCCCGGTACCGAAAGAAATGGGTTGCGCATTCATCAGAGTTTTCTGTAAAAGGTAATAGTGTAGCTAGTGGCATGTCAGTTCCCACTACGGATTCACCTGCAATGTTTATGCCAAACTTAACTCCTTCAAGATCAGTTAGAGAGGCTATTCATGAAGTGAAAATGGTGCAGGTATTTCAAGTTTCACCCTCTCCCTTCGTTTTATGGTTCAGGCACCCAGGGTCATCGTTTGGTCTATATTCAACCCAACTGATGGAAAATTGTCTTCCTAATATAAATTGAAAATTTGTCATCATTGGGTCAAGTCAACTGTTGGAAAATTTAGAGACTCGAGACGTGATTCTGGTCATATTGGATGTTTTCCTCTGGCTTGAGCTTTGATACTTTAAATTGAAAATTTCTCATGCCCTACTTAATGTGACAGATATGGGACCATATGATGAGGAGTTGTGAGATGAGAGGCAAGGAATTGCTGGATGCAAATGTACTGACAGATGTTGACCTTTATGAGTGGTTGAAGGGCAGGAACAGCAATGAAGCTGCCATCGTTGGAGTTGGCTTGCCATGTTATTCATTTCTGCAAACCATTCTGTCCTCCATCAAATCCAACTCAAATGGCCTATTGCTAATAGATGGTCTAGAGATAACTCATTTGAACAGACCCAAGGACAAACTATTGGATTGGTTCTTCAATCCAATAATGGTTCTGAAGGAACAGATTAGCGTCATAAAATTGGAGGAGGGTGAAGTTAGATACTTGGAGAAAGTAGTTCTGTTTGGAAGCAACGCACGACGCATGGAGGCTTGGGATAACGGTGGTTTAGTGCTTCAGGATCCTCTCAGAGCTGCCCAGATCCAGGGAATTAGCAGAAGGTACGTGACTTATGTTTGCATTTTGACTTGTAAGTTTCGGAAACAGTCTCTGCCTTATTTGTCTCTTTGACTGATAGATATATGCCTTAATGCACTCTTAGGATGATTGGAATGATAAAGAGTGTGTCGAGGTTTCCAACTTACAGGAGGAGATTTCACCAAATCGTGAAGGCTTTGCTTGTTCATTATGTGGATCGGGACATATCTTTACGATCCGGCAGTTTTATAGTATCGAACACCTCAGATGAAAATGTTTAGGATAGCCAAGTATTGGTTTTTTTTTTTTTTTTTCCTTCCCTCCATTAATGGATTGCTGTATATATGCCTTTAGGTCCTCAAGTGCTGTAGAGCCAATTCCTTTTTCGTAGTTCCTCATCGTTATTATCTCTTTTTGTTCTTTTGGTCAAAGCCGGGGTGTATTCGCTCTCCCAGGCCTTTTGGTGGTGAATTGCCAAATTGAAACCGAGTGGCTTCCAAAAGTACAAACCTGTGTTGGCTAAAATGCAACGGGACGTACCAAGAATCAGGTATGGCAGTGGGAAAAGCATTCGGTGTCACGTGGCTGGATGACATGACAGAGAGGAAAGGTAAGATTTCACCGGAGCCATTTAGGCACAAGCCCGTTTTGAAGTTTAGACGCATCACTTGGTTTGGGCCTAAAATATATTTGGATCTGCGAAGACTCTTCTCTCTCTCTTGATACAACAAAGACTCTTCTCTTTAGATCTCTTAGGCCCTTCAAGGCTTCAATGAACATTTGCCTTTTGTAACCCCCCCCCCACAAAAAAAAGAGGAAAAAAACACCTTTGCCTCCTTTTTTTTTTACAGCTTGTTTAGTTACCGGAGGCGCAAAAATGGAGTTATGTGGAGGACGTCAACTTCAAACAGCCAACATCATGATAACATTTTTTTTCCAATTTGTGTGTATATGAAGAAATCAAATAAATGGGCAGATATCCCTGTCTTCAGTAAATGCGGAGTGGGTATGTCCTGTGCAGTATCATTGTCACATGGCATTCACATTTATAATTCAAATTAGGTAATTCTGTGATTTATTATTGTTGTTGTTGCCCACGTCTTCATTTCGTGCGACCTCAATAAATAGCTGCACTGTAGTCTGACTCACGTCCAGCTGTTTTTTTGGTTGCCCAATTTATTTTGTTGGCAACAGTAAAAAGCACCGAATAGAAGCGTAGAATGTGTACTTTTATTTTTCTTAGAGGGCAAGCAAAACGTAGATCTTAAAATTATAGTACTCAAAGCACAGTGTGCTTCAAATGGTCTGCCTTTGTAGTTTCCTACACATTATGATCCCGATGTGGACATGAACTGCCCGTTTTTAGTTGTTAATCAATGCGGCAGTTGTAATTGCAGTCCGTTGACTGCAGTTCATCGTATTTATATGCTGTTAATTAAACAACTTAAGTACCTACTACTCTTTTATCCACCACGTCATTCCAACTGCTAGAGCGTCGCAATTAGCAATGTCTACGCAGAACGTTTAATTTGACTTTAAGACCATATATTTTTAATATACCGCTTCTAAATCCATGTGGCTGCAGATTTGGTTGAGTGTTAAAAGGCATTGAAAAATCATTGAATCACTAGTATATTATATTC